ACACATTGTAATGTTATAGGTACGTGTGGACACATTGTAATGTTAAAGGTACGTGTGGACACATTGTCATGTTACAGGTACGTGGGGACACATTGTCATGTTATAGGTACGTGGGGACACATTGTCATGTTATATGTACGTGGGGACACATTGCAATGTTTCAGGTACGTGGGGACACATTGTAATGCTACAGGTACGTGGGGACACATTGCCACGTTATAGGTACGTGGGAACACATTGTTATGTTATAGGTACGTGGGGACACATTGTCATGTTATAGGTACGTTGGGACACATTATCATGTAACAGGTACGTGTGGACACATTGTCATGTTATAGGTACATGGGGACACATTGTAATGTTATAGGTACGTGGGGACACATTGTAATGTTATAGGTACGTGGGGACACATTGTAATGTTATAGGTACGTGGGGACACATTGTAATGTTATAGGTACGTGGGGACACATTGTAATGTTATAGGTACGTGGGGACACATTGTAATGTTATAGGTACGTGGGGACACATTGTAATGTTATAGGTACGTGGGGACACATTGTAATGTTATAGGTACGTGGGGACACATTGTAATGTTATAGGTACGTGGGGACACATTGTAATGTTATAGGTACGTGGGGACACATTGTAATGTTATAGGTACGTGGGGACACATTGTAATGTTATAGGTACGTGGGGACACATTGTAATGTTATAGGTACGTGGGGACACATTGTAATGTTATAGGTACGTGGGGACACATTGTAATGTTATAGGTACGTGGGGACACATTGTAATGTTATAGGTACGTGGGGACACATTGTAATGTTATAGGTACGTGGGGACACATTGTAATGTTATAGGTACGTGGGGACACATTGTAATGTTATAGGTACGTGGGGACACATTGTAATGTTATAGGTACGTGGGGACACATTGTAATGTTATAGGTACGTGGGGACACATTGTAATGTTATAGGTACGTGGGGACACATTGTAATGTTATAGGTACGTGGGGACACATTGTAATGTTATAGGTACGTGGGGACACATTGTAATGTTATAGGTACGTGGGGACACATTGTAATGTTATAGGTACGTGGGGACACATTGTAATGTTATAGGTACGTGGGGACACATTGTAATGTTATAGGTACGTGGGGACACATTGTAATGTTATAGGTACGTGGGGACACATTGTAATGTTATAGGTACGTGGGGACACATTGTAATGTTATAGGTACGTGGGGACACATTGTAATGTTATAGGTACGTGGGGACACATTGTAATGTTATAGGTACGTGGGGACACATTGTAATGTTATAGGTACGTGGGGACACATTGTAATGTTATAGGTACGTGGGGACACATTGTAATGTTATAGGTACGTGGGGACACATTGTAATGTTATAGGTACGTGGGGACACATTGTAATGTTATAGGTACGTGGGGACACATTGTAATGTTATAGGTACGTGGGGACACATTGTAATGTTATAGGTACGTGGGGACACATTGTAATGTTATAGGTACGTGGGGACACATTGTAATGTTATAGGTACGTGGGGACACATTGTAATGTTATAGGTACGTGGGGACACATTGTAATGTTATAGGTACGTGGGGACACATTGTAATGTTATAGGTACGTGGGGACACATTGTAATGTTATAGGTACGTGGGGACACATTGTAATGTTATAGGTACGTGGGGACACATTGTAATGTTATAGGTACGTGGGGACACATTGTAATGTTATAGGTACGTGGGGACACATTGTAATGTTATAGGTACGTGGGGACACATTGTAATGTTATAGGTACGTGGGGACACATTGTAATGTTATAGGTACGTGGGGACACATTGTAATGTTATAGGTACGTGGGGACACATTGTAATGTTATAGGTACGTGGGGACACATTGTAATGTTATAGGTACGTGGGGACACATTGTAATGTTATAGGTACGTGGGGACACATTGTAATGTTATAGGTACGTGGGGACACATTGTAATGTTATAGGTACGTGGGGACACATTGTAATGTTATAGGTACGTGGGGACACATTGTAATGTTATAGGTACGTGGGGACACATTGTAATGTTATAGGTACGTGGGGACACATTGTAATGTTATAGGTACGTGGGGACACATTGTAATGTTATAGGTACGTGGGGACACATTGTAATGTTATAGGTACGTGGGGACACATTGTAATGTTATAGGTACGTGGGGACACATTGTAATGTTATAGGTACGTGGGGACACATTGTAATGTTATAGGTACGTGGGGACACATTGTAATGTTATAGGTACGTGGGGACACATTGTAATGTTATAGGTACGTGGGGACACATTGTAATGTTATAGGTACGTGGGGACACATTGTCATGTTATAGGTACGTGGGGACACATTGTAATGTTATAGGTACGTGGGGACACATTGTCATGTTATAGGTACATGGGAACACATTTTAATGTTACAGGTACGTGGGGCCACATTGTCATGTTACAGGTACGTGGGGACACATTGTAATGTTACAGGTACGTGGGGACACATTGTCATGTTATAGGTACGTGGGGACACATTGTAATGTAATAGGTACGTGGGGACACATTGTCATGTTATAGGTACATGGGAACACATTTTAATGTTACAGGTACGTGGGGCTACATTGTCATGTTACTGGTACGTGGGGACACATTGTAATGTTACAGGTACGTGGGGACACATTGTCATGTTATAGGTACGTGGGGACACATTGTAATGTTATAGGTACGTGGGGACACATTGTAATGTTACTGGTACGTGGGGACACATTGTAATGTTATAGGTACGTGGAGACACATTGTAATGTTACAGATATGTGGGGACACATTGTCATGTTATAGGTACGTGGGAACACATTTTAATGTTACAGGTACGTGGGGCCACATTGTCATGTTACTGGTAAATGGGGACACATTGTAATGTTTCAGGTACGTGGGGACACATTGTCATGTTATAGGTACGTGGGGACACATTGTAATGTTATAGGTACGTGGGGACACATTGTAATGTTATAGGTACGTGGGGACACATTGTCATGTTACAGTTACGTGGGTACACATTGTCATGTTATAGGTACGTGGGGACACATTGTAATGTAATAGGTACGAGGGGACACATTGTAATGTTATAGGTACGATAGGAAATATTGTACTTGTTTTTAAGAAAGGCGACATTAATAACACAGACAGTTATCGCGGTATTGGGTTTTTTGGTTTGACCGATTTGATCGGTTCAGAAGACTATGTGTTTTCAGATTCTTTATTTCCTTATGTTTACAACACATCGGAGAGTAGACATACATATGTACAAAATATCACAATGTATAACACAAATTACAGTGGATGCAATAGTGTACAATGCATAACATAGATTATTAAAACACAATATACCTGTATGTGGGTATAACATACAGAACATGCAGTATTATATTTAGTAAAACAATATTATTTCGTCGTTATGTACTTAAATACAAAAAATTGCCTAGTTTATTTAGATCTTTAACGATTTTGGTATTGAACAGTTCTATTAACTTGAAAACACTTGGTCGTTTGTTAAAATAAGTTTAATATATTCATGCCTAAAATCATCATAAAATTTGCATTTAAGTATAAAATGGAATTCATCTTCAACATCATTAACGTTACAGAATGTACAAAGTCGTTGTTCTCTTGGTTGATTTCTGCACCTGCCTTGCTCAATATTTAAACTATGAGAGCTTAGTCTAAAACGTGTTAAGTACTTTTTGTACAAGTTATTGATAGGTTTTCTCAAATAGTATTGCAGGGTAAATTTGTCAATAAGATGCTGATAAAGAAAACCTCTAGAAATAGTTTGAATGTTAGATAATAAGTTTTGCTGAAATATATCGTAAAACCGTTGTTCAATTATTTTATAAATATGTCTATCAGTAGTGTTACAATTGATGTCCCATAGATGACCTAAACCTAATTTGCGAAGTTCCCCTTGGATATTTATAATCCAACTATCATTCGGCAAAACCCTTTCTTCATAACAAGTTTTAAAAAAACAATTATCTGTAGCTCTTAATTTTAACCAATATTTAATGATTCGAAGCTTTCTACTTTCCGCCAGTGGCATTCTTCCCAACTCATAACATAAATATACTAAACTATTACAGGTACTCTTTTTAACTCCGAGTAGCCGTTTACAAAAATTCATATGTATTTTCTCGACATCTAAAGCATTATGAAATCCCCATATCTCTGCACTGTAGCTCAAATTGTTATTTACATATTTATCAAAAACTGCACATTGTGTTCCAATATTAAAATTATGATTTTTTAATTTGCTACAAATTGCATAATACGCCTTATTTGCTTGTTCTGCAACGTGTTTTTGTCTAACATTAAATTCACCATTATAATTAAAAAGCATTCCTAAGTAATTGAACTGATTAACAACTTGCAGCTCTATATTATCAAATAACCACTTTTCGTTATTCCGTATTATGCCAGCATTCCTGAAAACTACTATTTTCGTCTTTTCTGTATTTAATGTAAACTTATACTTGTTATTATATACTTTCAGAGCATCCATAACTTCCTGTAGTTTTTCTGGTGTTTCTGCAAATAAAACCATATCGTCAGCGTACATCAACAGAAAAATATTAATCAAATTAAATTCAATTGAAGGACATCCTTCCTTGATAAAATGTATTTCACAATCATTCACGTACATGGAGTACAAAATCGGCGACAATATTTCACCCTGAAAAAGACCAATCGTATTTGTGAAATAGTCAAAATAAACCCCATTATGCTTTACACATGATTTCACTGAGTTATATAAAGATTGTATGATTCGTAACATTTTCCCGCATAAACCCTGATTTATCAATTTACACCACAAATGAGATCTTTCAATTAGATCGAAAGCCTTCTTTTAATCTACAAAGCAACAATATAGTCTGCCACCTCTTTTGAATAAAGGACAAATATAGTATCAACAGTCGAGTATTAAGGCCTAAAACCAAATTGAGCATCCGTTATAATATTATTTTCGATGCACCATTTCAATAATCGCCCATTCAATATTGATGTAAACAACTTTCCCATACAACTAACTAAAGTAATACCTCTATAATTATTCGTGTTTTCAATATCACCTTTTTTTATACTGGCGTGATACACCCAGTTGACCAAGATTCTGGGGAAAATCCTGCTTAGTTTATGGTATATTATGAACTAGGACGGTATCCTATGAATATAGTTCGTAAATTTCGCATTTTCAAATATTGTATTAAATTAAGAAAATCTGAAAACTGTATTCAAAAATTATGCTACTCTGAGATGCGATCTAACAACGATATATGATTAAGTAAGGTGAGGCAAGAATTATACAGAATTGATCTTGGTTATGTGTGGGAAGCCCCGAGTCTAAATAATGATGTATTTTTTATAATTAAGGATCGCAATTCTGATATATTCAAACAAGAATGTTTTGAAAAAATAACATCTTCTGCAAAAGGTGCACTTTACCAATATATTTGTAATTTTGGACTACAGTTTTATTTGTCCATATCTATCAATATTAATTATGTAAAACATCTTTATAAAATAAGACTATCAGCACACAAATTAAATATTGAATGTGGTAGGTATAACAATATCGAAAGAGGAAACAGATTGTGTACATCATGTAATATGAATGAGGTAGAAGATGAATTTCATTTCATTTTGAAATATCCTTGGTATGCTGACATAAGAGCTAAATTCATCAAAGATTATTATGTAAACCGTACTAGCATGTTTAAATTTATCCAACTGCTAAACAGTAATAGTTTATCGGAAATTAGAAATTTGGGTAAATATCTAGTGCATGCGAACAAGAAAAGGTATCAACTTCTTTAATTAGTGGTTACTCACTCTCCACTATATAATATAAAAATATAATACCTAGACATATTATGTTTACATGGATGTATATTGTATTGTACTGTATATATGTTGTAACTGATAAGTCGGACGACTTAAAGTAGTAATAAGCTTGTAACAATGCCATATACTTCCTTTAATCGGCGCTGATAAACAAAAGGATGGATTGGTTGGAGATGAGAAGTGATTGGGTGTATCTTTTTGGCCTAATTGAGCAGATGGTTGCATTGGACTTAATTATGTATTAAAATTTACATATCAATTCAATTCAAAATATCAGATGAGCTGCTGTGGAGTAGACAGTTACAGGGATTTGTCTTTGGCAACTAATTGGGGAAAAACATACAAGGATAAAAGTATCCCTTTGACTGGTAAAATCATTGGCCTACATACACCGCTGGTGTGCTGTAAGAAGACCGAGAGGGACAAACTAGGGAGCGGTGCTGCCGCGTCTACAGTAGGAGTATGTGCTACAAACCCTGCTACAACAACAAGTAACTTCGAAAACGTAAGTACTAACAGATACGTGACTGACATAGCAGTAGGTAGATCTTGCTTCAAGCATGTAACTTTAAGAAGGTGAACAAAAGTTAATGTTCTTTATACATAGAAGGAATTTATCTTCATATTGGGATTAATTTGGCGTATTACTAACAAAGCGGAGCTATATTTATTTTGTATAGACGGGTACTAGTTTTACAGTGACAAAATGAACCAAAATGTACACTAGTGTAAACTTTACAAAGCATGCATTAAGTAATATGCTTTAGTTTCACAGATATGTATTTTGTTGACAATTGTCAGTTTTACAGAGACAATTTAGGGATAGATGTTTGGGTATAGATAAATATAGGATCTTACACGAGTTTCCATTTCATATGATATTTATGAAACGAGTCTAACAATATTTCAATCGAACGAGCCTCTGGCGAGCTGAAATGAAAAGTTCGGGACGACTTTCATAAATTTCATGAAAACGAGTGTAAGATCCTTTTTATCACATTATCAAGATTTGTGGCATTTATTCGTGTAAAACGACAATTTTTATGCACCTTGAAAAGTAAAAAAAATATGTGACGTCATGTACTTGTCCTAGGTGTGAAGTCCCAATTGAATGAATTGTAACTTACAACCAATCACATGGTTGATAGGTCATATTACATGGGTTAATACGCAAAAAATATGACATGGGTATATTCACTGAATAACACAGTACATTATGTGATAAAAATAATTTGTTGTACATGTTATGATTAGTTTGATTTTACTCCACAGGGTTGTTACGACGCCGTGTGGGACGAGATAGACAAATCTAAAACAGCAGTGATCTTAATTCTGTCGGCCATCATCGCCTTTCAGGTAACATTACTAAAACATTTATCTATGAAAAGGTTTTCAAAAATGAAGAACCTGTCAACACAGAAACCAAAACACACGTACGGACAAACACATCAGACAAAGACAAATACACCAACTGTAAATTACATAGGAAGTATTTATGTACTCACTTACTTTATTTATTTATTTATTTTACAACAAATGCAAATGCATGCGGTAAGTTGCATCAGCTTATATTGGTTACTCTTCTGCTCTGGATAAAAGCGAAACCGATCAAACGTACCCGGACTAAACCCACGTGGACGGGAAGTTGACCCAAAACTTTTAACGTACGACCGGGAAATCGAACCCCGGCCGTCTCGGTGGAATACTAGTGCGCTATCAACTGCGCCATCCAATCACATCATCCTATAAATTATGTAAACAGATTAAAGCAATCTACATCAAGACAGAACCGCAACTCATTAAGAATAAACCTCAAAAATAAGAAATCTTCACATTAAAAACCTAACCAACACTTGTGAAGATTGAAATAGCTGATCCTCTACAGAGTGTTACTCGGAATAGCTGCGGCGTTATTGTTACTATGACAATTAATATTAATATTGACGCCATGTTTATTGGAAATACCACATTTCCGTCCCGTTATAGATAGGAAGCTACAGAACTGCGACTTGTATACATAATGTTAGTCGTCAAGGTCTTTCTGCCACTAAAACATCGTTATGTGCGCTAGTCCAACACTGAATGGTTTGCCTGCAAATCTGTGTCAATCATATGGTCTGTAAACGATACATCAGCACAGATCTCTGCTTGTGTTTCCCATTTTAGGAGTAATTTGTTATCAAAGAAATTGAAACTTGTTATTTGTATTCTGTTAAAATTTTACTTCAAACGTATGTACAGTATGTATCGCCTATTCTTGTCCTATGAACAAAACATGTCTCTCCAATGGAATTCGATACAAACGGCACTAGTGAAACGAAAATACCAGAAGGAATCGAATTTACAAGGAGAAGGCAACAGAGGCACGGGAAGTGATGAACATTAGAAAAGCATAGTGTTTTGAATAGTGGACAGTGTTACTAGTGCCTTCTGTGTCGGAGAAGATCACTACCACGATCTCAAATTAAATATCTTCAAGTTATGACCCCCCCCCTCCCCCCTCTCACTTATTCTCACTCGCTCTCTCTGTTAGTAACACTAAACTTAATTGAAAATATTAATTAATTTAAAAATTGCCATCTTGTATATATATATTTCATTATGTTATAGGGAAAGGGCTTTACATAAGTTGGACAACTTGTGCCCGATCCCTTTTGTATATTAGATGCAAATAAAAATATGTTTAAATCAAATCAACATTTGTTAAAAAACTATTATTTACAATAAAAAAAAGTTAGTCTTAATCGTACGGGTGGTAGTTTTCGTTTTATTTTCGGAACCAGTCCATCGCGTAGGAATATAAGTAGTTCAAAGATGGCTTCTAAAACGAAAGTTAAGTGCTGTGAAAGGTAATTATTTGGTTGTTATATATATCCTGACATTGATCGGTTCGGATAAGTGGCAGATATGTTTCCTTTTGTATAGTGTGTATTTCTGCCGAAATCAGTACAGATATANAATGTCTCTCCAATGGAAGAGCGCGATGTCAAGCGTTACAACTATGACGTCATAGCAATGACGACGTTAACACGTGGGCCATGGCATTTACAGTCCAAATGAATGCATCAGAATCGTGTAGGGTTATCCATGTATATGGTCTCAACAATATACATTGATTAACGTACGGTTGAATCTGTAACATGCTTACTGACGTTTTCGCAAAACGTTGTTACACAGTTTTGATACAAATGTGTATCATGAATGTGGTATTTTCATTTGTTCCAGGCTGTGATGATATTTTTCTCGCTGTGGCTTGCGCGTGCTATCAGGAAAGAAAACCAGGTTGGACCAGTCGGATAGCGTGGTTGGTGGACCAATCACTATCAACCAAGCGGATAACCAGTATAGTGGACCAATCAGACACTAGAGATGAAATATCAATCATCTTGCATAAATCATTGACTTTTATATAGATGTGAATAATATATAATTTAAGAATAGAAAAGGATAAATAGAGTTTGAAATGTGATAACCGTTATTGATTTATAACGCATACTTTACCTATATTTCTAAATGAACCCTCAAATGCTTGTGTTTTTAAGATGTGCAAATTGTGTGTTTAAGATATACAGATTGTGTTTTTAAGATTTACAAAGTATAAGATATAGTGTTTGCTGACATACCGAGTTACATATACGATCTATATAACATTAATCTAAAGTCACCCTGCCGTAATCGGGAACCTAATTGTCCACATCAAGCGACAGCCTTTCCTTGTCACAGTGAGATCGAAGAATGTTATTCATTCATAATATTAATTTACTACACGTGTACGTCACAGCGGTCAGACCCTCTTGCTTATATCGATCTTTCACCAGTTGAGCTGATTTGATAATTGTTTCCATTTGTATGGTCTTGTTTTATATAGTTATGTGAGTTTCTAACCATTATATAATTGTGTATATATCGTTTGATCTGTTGAAAGCAAATATTTTTTCTCGAACTACATTTAAATTTAAAAAGACATCCAGAGTCATTGTTGAAAACGGACAGACAGGGGAGGGGAGATAAACAGGTATAAAATTATCCACAATTCGCTGTCTTGAGATAATCACGCTTTTGATGACCGGTAACTACAAATGTAGTACGATTTCATAGATTTTTTTGTCTGTAAGTAGCAGTCTGTCTATAAAAACCGTCTGTGTATGATAAACACAAAACGAATACTGGCACATTTTCTCTACTATTAGAACTGTTAGTTCTGCAGCTAGCTTTCGAACAATATTGCTGGTAATAGACAACTATTTAACCGGAGATAAATTAGCATTAACTTGTCATGTTAACAGGCCAACTTCCATCGCGAGTTAGCTCCCTTTAAGCAATTTATCTCGCTTCATCACCATGACAAGACATTGAATTATAACTAATACTGACACAACGCTTACTATCTAACAAAACACAAGTCATTTGTATTTGAAAACTTTAGCAAACAGACATGGTTAGAATGCTTTCACACATTTTGCCATACATTTTAATACAACTGTACATATAACACAAACGGAACACGACTACAATCATGTTCACAGTATTCCGTCTTTGCGTATTGCAGAGTTATCTTCTCTTGTTACTGAAATTACAAAAAAGCAAACTAATTTTTCTGTTTACTGTTTTATTCTATAGTTTGTTATATATGAATTGATACCCTATGTATTAAAGTATTAGCTGATCCGTCCAGATAATTTTCCATGTAACAGCTTATTTAGATCGATGACCATTCGTATGATTATATATTGCCGTCCATTTTTGTTTAATTGTATATTGCCCATTGTTTTGCTTATTACGTTTTACCGTTCGTTCTGGCTTATTTATGTACAACCGTCCATTCCTCTTTAAACATATTCTACCGTCCATTCCTCTTTACTTGTGTACTACCGTACATTTCTTTTTAATTATGTACTACCGTCCATTCCTCTTTAATTATGGACAACCGTCCATTCCTCTTTAATTGTGTACTACCGCCTATTTCTTTTTAGTTATTTACTTCCGTCCATTCCTCTTTAATTGTGCACAACCGTCCATTTCTCTATAATTGTGTACTACCGTCCATTCCTTTTTTAATTATATTCTACCGTCCATTCCTCTTTAATTATGTACTACCGTCCATTCCTCTTTAATTATATTCTACCGTCCATTACTCTTTAATTATATTCTACCGTCCATTCCTCTTTAATTATGTATGTATTTCGGTCCATTCATAAAAAGTATTACTAATGTAATAATGTTCATTCCGCTTTTGATTAATTACCGAACTTTTTGTATCCGTAACGAAGATAAGTTGTAGATAATGTGAGAGTTTTTTTAAAAAAACATCCTACTACTCTTGATTGATCACATAAGCGAAGATACGGTCTTTTAATTCCAACATTGTCAATAAATGTATGTGCTGACAATCGGTAACATCTTTTTATATGACGTTTTCTTTGTAATGTAATACAGTAAACCTATCAACGATTCAAACTTGTGGGAAAACTTATTCTGTATTAGTCGAGTTCATGATTTATCTCGGAACACCTCCGGATCTTGTGTTTTCTTTGTAATGTAATACAGTAAACCTGTTAACGATTCAAACTTATTCTGTATTAGTCGAGTTCACGATTTATCTCAGAACACCTCTGGATCTTGTGTTTTCTTTGTAATGTAATACAGTAAACCTGCTAACGATTCAAACTTATTCTGTATTAGTCGAGTTCATGATTTATCTCGGAACACCTCTGGATCTTGTGTTTTCTTTGTGATATGATTTTGTGGGTGATACTGATGTGCCAAAATCATTAGTTATAGCAGTATGTATATATTCAGGAGAAATAAAATCAATAGAAATAGATCAGTTTTCGTTGTTTTTTGAAACAAAACAAAATAGTTATAAATGTTTGAGGGAGGTAACTTGGGTGTATACATCCCCATAAAACGTAACATAAAGCCAGGAACTAATGATAACAAATGTTTCCAATAAAACATCCTCCGCTAATTGATCAGTGTCAATGCCAATTGGGTTTTTCGTTCAGGAATTGGAAGACATCGCAACAAAAAAGAGTTACCCCCCTTAGGAATAACATTTATATTGCCATACTAGCTTTGCTTTAATAAGTACATTATCCGTACAGGTCTGAACATTCGTGTCCAGACAACCTCAAAATACGTCTACACATACCAAAGCTTTTAACTGATTCCGATTGCTATTCATATTGACAATAAATGACAACTGAAAAATGTGCAATAAATAGACTGATATTATTACCTCGTAGAATAATACTCTAATTATCACGAGAAGCATTTACATATGTAGTTAAAACAATACTGCTAGTTTTATGTTTACTTAAGTAAAAGAAAAGCAATGTTCTAGTGAGGGTTGTGATGAAAGTGAAAATGATGAAGGCCAATACAGCGACACTTGTCCATCCACTGACACACGTCATTACAGCGACACTTGTCCATACAGTGACACACGTCCATACAGCAACACATGTCCATACAGCAACACACGTCCATACACCAACACAAGTATATACAACAACACAAGTCCATACAACAACACAAGTCCATACAGCTACAAACGTCCATACAGCAACACATGTAAATACCGAGACACACGTCATACAGCGACACAGAAACCTACAGCGACACATGTCCATACAGCGACACAAGCTCATACAGCGACACACGTCCACACAGCAACACACGTCCATACAGTGACACACGTCCATACAGCAACGCATGTCCATACAGTGACACAAGCTCATACAGCGACACACGTCCATACAGCAAAACACGTCCATACACCAACACAAGTGTATACAACAACACACGTCAATACAACGACACACGTCAATACATGGACTCACGTCCATACAGCAACACAGGTAAATACAGAGAGACACGTCATACAGCGACATAGGAAACTACAGCGACAGATGTCCATACAGCGACACACATCAATATAGCGACACATACATACCATACAGTAACACACGTCCATACAGCCACACGTTTATACAGCGACACACATCGATACATTGACACACGTCGTTACAGCAAGTCCATATAGCGAGACACGTCCATATAGCGACAAAGTTATTACAGTGACACATTTCAATAAACCAACACACGAACATACAGCGAAACACGTCCATACAGCGATACATGTCCATACAATCACACACGTCCGTACAGTAACACACGTCCATACCGTAACACACGTATACACAGTAACACACGTCCATACAGTAACACACGTCCATACAGTAACACACGTCCATACAGCGACACACGTCCGTACAGTAACACACGTCCATACAGCGACACACGTCCGTACAGTAACACACGTCCATAAAGCGACACACGTCCGTACAGCGACACACGTCCGTACAGTAACACACGTCCATATAGCGACACAGGTCCGTACAACGACACACGTCAATACATCTCCATACAGTAACACACGTGCATACAATCGCACACGTCCATACAGTAACACACGTTCATACAGTAACACACTTATATACAGTAACACACGTCCATACAGTAACACACGTATATAAAGTAACACACGTCCATACAGTAACACACGTCCGTACAGTAACACACGTTCATACAGTAACACACGTATATACAGTAACACACGTCCGTACAGTAACACACGTCCATACAGCGAAACACGTCAATACAGTAACATACGCCAATACAGTAACACACGTCCGTACAGTAACACACGTCCATACAGTAACACACGTCAATACATGGACTCACGTCCATACAGCAACACAGGTAAATACCGAGACACACGTCATACAGCGACATAAGAACCTACAGCGACACACGTCAATATAGCGACACATACATACCATACAGTAACACACGTCCATACAGCGACACACATCGATACATTGACACACNCACAAGTCCATATAGCGACAAAGTTAATACAGTGACACATTTCAATAAACCAACACACGGACATACAGCGAATCACGTTCATACAGTGATACATGTCCATACAATCACACAAGACCATACAGTAACACACGTTCATACCGTAACACACGTATATACAGTAACACACGTCCATACAGTAACACACGTCCATACAGTAACACACTTCCATACAGTAACACACGTCCGTACAGTAACACACGTCCATACAGTAACACACGACCATACAGTAACACACGTTCATACAGTAACACACGTCCATACAGTAACACACGTCCATACAGTAACACACGTCCATACAGTAACACACGTCCATACAGTAACACACGTCCATACAGTAACACACGTCCATACAGTAACACACGTCCGTACAGTAACACACGTCCGTACAGTAACACACGTTCATACAGTAACACACGTATACACAGAACACACGTCCATACCGTAACACACGTCCATACATTGACACACGGCAATACATCTCCATACATTAACACACGTGCATACAATAACACACCTACATACCGTAACACACGTACATACAGTAACACACGCCCGTACATTAACTCACGTTTATATAGCGACACATGTCCATACAGTAACACACGTCGATACAGCGACACACGTTTATACAGTGACCCACATCGATACATTGACACACGTCGATACAGCAAGTCCATATAGCGACACACGTCCACTACGCAGCACACGCAAAACACGTCCATACACCAACAGAAGTGTATACAACAACACACGTCAATACAACGACACACGTCCACACAAGTCCATACAGCTACAAACGTCCATACAGCAACACAGGAACCGACATCGACACACGTCCATACAACAACACAAGTTCATATAGCGACACACGTCCGTACAACGACACACGTCAATACATTTCCATACAATAACACACGTGCATACAATAACACACGTACATACAGTAACACACGTAGATACAGTAACACACGTCCGTACAGTAACCCACGTCCATACAGTGAAACACGTCAATACAGTAACACACGTCCGTACAGTAACACACCTTCATATAGCGAGACACGTCCGTACAGCGACACACGTCAATACATGGACACAGTTATATACAGCGACACACGTTCATATAGCGACACACGTCCGTACAACGACACACGTCAATACATGGACTTACGTCCATACAGCAACACAGGAACCTACAGCGACACACGTCCATACAGCAACACAGGAACCTACAGCGACACACGTCAATACATGGACTTACGTCCATACAGCAACACAGGTAAAAACCGAGACACACGTCATACAGCAACACAGGAACCTACATCGACACACGTCCATACAACAACACAAGTTCATATAGCGACACACGTCCACTACGCAGCACACGTCCACACAGCAACACACGTCCACACAGCAACACACGTCCACACAGCAACAAACGCCCACACAGCAACACACGTCCATACAGTAACACACGTCCATACCGTAACACACGTATACACAGTAACACACGGTCCATACAGCAACACACGTCCATACACAAAAACAAGTGTATACAACAACACACGTCCATACACCAACACACGTCCATACAGCAACACACGTCCATACAGCGACACACGTTTATATAGCGACACACATCGATGCATTGACACACGTTGATACAGCAAGTCCATATAGCGACACACGTCCATATAGCGACAAAGTAAATACAGTGACACATTTCAATAAACCAACACACGAACATACAGCGAAACACGTCCATACAGCGATACATGTCCATACAAGCACACACGTCCGTACAGTAACACACGTTCATACCGTAACACAGGTATACACAGTAACACACGTCCATAGAGTAACATATGTCCATACAGTAACACACGTCCATACAGTAACACACGTCCGTACAGTAACACACGTTCATACCGTAACACACGTATACACAGTAACACACGTCCATAGAGTAACATATGTCCATACAGTAACACACGTCCATCCAGTAACACACGTCCATACAGTAACACACGTCCGTACAGTAACACACGTTCATACCGTAACACACGTATACACAGTAACACACGTCCATACAGTAACACACGTCCATACAGCGACACACGTCCATACAGTAACACACGTCCATACCGTAACACACGTATACACAGTAACACACGTCCATAAAGTTACACACGTCCATACAGTAACACACGTCCATACAGCGACACACGTCCATACAGTAGCACACGTCCGTACAGTAACACACGTATACACAGTAACACACGTCCATACAGTAACACACGTTCATACCGTAACACACGTATACACAGTAACACACGTCCATACAGTAACACACGTCCGTACANACATCTCCATACAGTAACACACGTGCATACAATAACACACGTACATACAGTAACACACGTACATACAGTAACACACGTCCGTACATTAACTCACGTTCATATAGCGACACACGTCCATACAGTAACACACGTCCATACAGCGACACACGTTTATACGGCGACACACATCGATACATTGACACACGTCGATACAGCAAGTCCATATAGCGAAACACGTCCATACAGCGATACATGTCCATACAATCACACACGTCCATACCGTAACACACGTATACACAGTAGCACACGTCCATACAGTAATACACGTCCATACAGTAACACACGTCCATACAGTAACACACGTCCATACAGTAACACACGTCCATACAGTAACACACGTACATACAGTAACACACGTCCGTACATTAACTCACGTTCATATAGCGACACACGTCCATACAGTAACACACGTCCATACAGCGACACACGTTTATACAGCGACACACATCGATACATTGACACACGTCGATACAGCAAGTCCATATAGCGACAC